TTCTCAAGTAGCAGAAGGATACATAGAAAATTATTTGCAAAATGTAGCAAATTCATTAGTTTCTTCACTTACTGGATCTAATTCGTCAGTAAGTAGTGCTCTACAAATCAACCTGTTTTAAAAAATATTACGGAAAATATTTTCAATGTACCATTTTTTAAATTCAGTAATTATTTAAACAATATAAATATTAACATTAATTGAATGTAATATAATGGTTTCAATAAATAACTTGTTTTGTTCAGATTTAAGTAATCGTCTTTGATTCATACTTTCTGGTCGTGGATAAAATATAGTCGGTTATTCAGTTAGTTTGCTAACGCTCGCGTCCGGAATCTTCCAATTGCATCGAATTTTCATTCTAATCTTGTTACAAAATATACTACTCCTATTATGTTTTCAAAAATTATTCCAAAATCAAACAGACAAGAATAGCCACTAGTTGTACATCGCTCATTGCATGTATTATGTATTGTGTATCCATTATGATATTTACTCCTTGGTAAAAGAAATGCATATTTTAAATTTCTAGTTGTTTCTGTTATTTAGATTTTATATAATTCTGAAATTGCAGAATTTTTTTAAGAATACGTTGCATTTCATCCAGTACCGTGAAATAATCAGTTTAACGTAAATAATTCCTATCTTTCTCGTTAACAAAAAATAAAAAAGTAACTACATTGTAATTTTTGTACATACATATTAAATTTTGTTAAATTTAAACCCTAAAAAACATAAGATATTTATTGTATGCTAATAGCTGTTACTGACTTAATTTCTATTTTATGCAAGAGAATTAAATGTCGACCGTAGATTGAAGACAAAAAATAAAGTAAGTGTTTTGGCATACTTTTGAAATTTCAAGTGAGTATAATTATTTTGTTGGCCTAATGACATCTATAACTTTAAGCTTCATCAATTTGTCTGCAGGTTGAACTCTGCCACTTGAAGAGATGAAGAAAGTCTAAGGCCACGAGTACTAAAATATAAATTACTTATTATTATGACAGTATTGAAATAAAACACGATTTTAAAATCCTATAAAAATTTATAGCCCCCCGAAAAAATTCCTCAACATCCAACTCAAAAAATAAAGCAACTTTACTGTTCTTAGCGAACATAAATTAAGGTGGCCGCTTGTCGTCGGATAGTGTGAGGGCATAGCGCTCATTATGCCTTCATGTTTGTAATTTCTATAAAAATTTCGGCATTCCAAAAGGATGTTTAACATGTTATAACCCCGTTTGGATTACAGATAAGCGGAACACGATGTTATGACACCCCGTGATGTAGACGTTAAAACATCGGGGACACTTCTCTCTGCCATATTTTTAATAACCTGGAATGTTGTCAACAGGTGGCTGAATTGTGAAAGACTTGACTTCATCTATTTTCAAGTCGACTCGCACCTCTAATCCGTATCTAATCTTTGAATGATGAGGATCAAAGGATGACGTCAGGGATTTATTAGGTGTGGTCGTTGGATGCGATCATGGCCTAGGTTACTATTAATCAGGCGTGTCACGCGAATCTTCGTTGAGAACTTGATGGGTACGTTTGGGAGGTCGATGGAATTCCGTGGAAAATCATTAATTTTTATGTGTTGGAATTACTGCTTGCTGGAATTTTTTCGCTTTTGTGAAAATATAAATAACACTCTATTAACTATTACGTTAATCATTCGCACAGTATTTTAGACGTTTTTGAACACGAAGATATTTTTTACGTTGTAGAAACACATTCTGTTTATAAAATATTTCTTTACTGACAGGTTCAATGTCTTTTTTGTCACATTTAGGTACACACTAAATATCAAAAAGGCATACAAAGTTGTGGCCGTCTTAATTCTAAGTAAAACTGTCATTCAAAACCTGGATCGAATTTATCTAACTCATTTTACATTCAAATAAATGATAATAATGAATTGATAAGGGTTAATGTCGAATATCTATACTTCTATACTTATATTATAAAGCTGAAGTGTTTGTTTAATTGAACGCGCTAAACTCAGAAACTACTGGTTCGAATTCAAAAAATTTTTTTGTGTTGGATAGTCCATTTATCGTATCTACATATAGGCTATATAACATCACGCTACGATCAATAGGAGCGAAGTAGCAATGAAAAATTCGGAAAAACGGGAAAATTATTCCTCCTTTGACAGCTTCCATTGCTTACGCTGCTTAAACGGTTAAAGTTACGTAAAAATCACGTATGACGAAATTGTTCCCCTCTAAAAGTTCTAAAGAAAAGTCCGGGACAGCATATGTCTATCTTTTAAGGTCGACTCAGTATAACCTTTTTTATGGTAATGAAATTTGTTCTACGAGCGCTAACAACTATATTTTGGGACACAGACAGTTTCTCAAAAAAATCCGGTACATATTTTTGATATTCAATTCGTTTGGACTAAATGCAAATTTTGCATGGGCATCTATTTTGACAGAGAGTGAGGTATTTAGCAAATTAATAAATTTTCTTAGAGCGTAAAAATTGTCACCTAAATAAAAAATGTAGCATTTTTGCTCCACATTTAAATGTTGGGACACCCGAGAAAATTTGCTAAGTATACCATGGAAATACAAACGTAGTAGCTGGTAAATGCTGCCATTACTGTAGGGATCGTAGCATTTCATACTAGTGTTAGTTTTATTTAGAAAAAAATACTTAGCGGTGTGCTAATTTTAGTAAAAGTTCTGAAAATTATTATTTCGCAGTACTGCAAGGGAAAATCGATAAGAAAAAGTGCAGATTTGTTCCAAATAGCTTAGTCGTCTAATCAATACATATCATTACTTGGTCTTAATACCCGTAATGATAGAAGTCTTGCCTGAATGCCGGTCATTTCCGGGTCAGTGGTGGGTCTCAATAAAACATCGCAACAAGGAAAATCTTCACACAGTATAGAAGGCATCATCCAAAATCGTCCATTGAAAGATTCTCATTACCAAGACAGAATGGAGGAAGGGGTTTCCAGAACCTTGAAAACTTATATCAGAGACAAATCTCAGATCTGAAGAAGTATTTCTTGAAACGAGCAGAAAGAAATGAAATGTTTCGAACCATCACAAGGGCAGATTTGAACCACACACCCTTAAATCTGTCGAACACCAAAGAAATCCACACCCCCCACACAATAGACAAAATAATAAGTGGGCTAAAACAAAAACAACTACATGGAAAATTCTACAAAGACTTAGAAGAAACTCATGTGAACAAGAAGATGTCATTGATTTGGTTAAAAAAATCAAGTTTGTATGCCGAAACAGAAGGATTTGTGTTTGCTATTCAAGACCAAGTAATCAATACCAAGAATTACAGAAAATATATCATCAAAGATCCGAATATAAGAAACGACTGCTGTCGCCTCTGCAAAGCAAAACCTGAAACGATCCAGCACATAATCTCCTCCTGCAGCATCCTGGCACAAACTGACTACAAAGCTAGACACGACAACGCAGCCAAAATCATTCACAAAGATTTAGCAACACTTATGAACTTAATCGAAGATACGACACCCTATTACACTAACATTCCGTCTCCGTTCCTTGAAAATAACAAATACAAATTATACTGGGATCGCACAATACTTACAGACTTAAACATTACAGCTAACAGACCAGACATCATACCTACTTATAAAAAAACACACGAACGAAGCGATTCTCATTGACATTGCTCTTCCTAACACAAACAACATTATTCAAACATACCACACCAAGATTTCAAAATATCTACAATTATCGATAGAAATGAAATCCATGTTGAATCTTAAAAAAATTTCAATTCTACCCTTAGTTATCTCTAATGTAGGTGTAGTCCCAAATAGCTTAGTTGAGAATTTAAAGACTTTGCATTTGAATGATTCAATAATTGTCAAAATTCAAAAAGCTGTTTTGTTAGGAACATGTCATATTGTTCGTAAGTTTCTCGAACAGTCTGATCATGTCAGTCAGATTAGACTAGCACCAGTAGGTCAGAGTAGTGTAGGTCACTTTGCAAGTGATAAATGATCGGTAGTTACGCTAGACTAATTTGTATGCTGTAATTCTAGAATCTCGAAAGTTGTTTTGTTAATCTAATCAATGCATATCATTACTTGGTCTTAATACCCGTAATGATAGAAGTCTTGCCTGAATGTCGGTCATTTCCGGGTCAGTGGTGGGTCTTAATAATAATATGTTCTTTATTGTCCAACAGATTTACCACTTATAGGACAATATTAATAACAATTATTAAGTGTGTTTAACAAAATATGTGTTTTTCGCATTACAGTTTTTTAGCCGGGCATTTTAACATAAATTGAGTATTAATTTTCTCATTATTTGGCTTTGATATCTTTGTCATTTTTTCTGTAATTGCTATGATTGCTTATTAGAAAAAAAAAAAAATGAGTTTAGACAGTACTCTCCTCGTTCTCGGAAACGTGTATAATATGTTGCCTGTGCAAAAATTGTCAGGCGTGAACAGATAAAATGAACATCCTGTATAGTACTTGCAATTTAAGACAAACAGCCTTAACACTGATATCAACCTGCAGACGTGACGGTGAAACACAAACTAAACTAAAACATGGTTTCTACGAATTGCAATAACTGGATGACAATGCCGACGGTTCAGATATTTTTATTGCTCTGACTTCCGTTTATTGAATAAAACATTACATTTTATTTGATTTTTGGTTGCTGTAAATCACATTTGATTATTTATAACTAATCTAGGGGAGCATCCCATAGCCTCCCCCTAGCTGCGGTCTTATGAAATATCGAGAAAATTTGGCTTCACAACTGCATCGTCTCGCCATCTGATCGAGTAATTCCCCGCCCGCCGCCCGCATCGCGTCCAGCTTCTGGTCAATGTTTTGTCTACTCGGTTGCTTATATAAACTATTTTGAGGTCGCCGATAAAAGAAAACAGTATTTCTAATACTCAGATTTGCTGTAAAATGTTATAACATTATTTAGTGTTTAGGTACTTTGTAAAAAAATTAGCAAGACTAATTTAATACTAATAGAAATTTACTTATACAGTTAAAGTAGAAAGAGTACGACTAATGTGTTATAAGGCTATATTGACCATAAGCTAGACATTCTTCACACACACCGTAATCCCTCATGCAACCCCTAGTACAATATGATATGGCGCCCCCCGTTCTTATTGTTCTTCAAACAAAGAATCGACAGGAAAGCTGTCAAAAACAGAAGCTAATATCTTTCCAAACGTTACGTCGTAACTTTCCTTAATTTGCCTATAATACTGCGTTACATTCGCCTTCAAGAACTGCTTAACGGAATCAGTTCTTATTCCATCAACATCTAACAAATTTTCAAAGTCAAAATCGATATCCGTCGGCCACATACTTAAGTAGTAATGCATAATTTTGTAGTATTCTCCTTTTTGTTGTAGCATTAAATTAAGATGCACGTGATTATTCTCTAGAAGCATGAAATTACGCTAGATAATTACATTATCTTCAAACTTACTTAAAATCACCAAAGCTGGTCCTTTTCCATAATCAGATAAAGAAAAGTCCCCAGACAGTTCGTAATCCAAGTCCAGTCTAAAATGGGGCACTATACAATCAAGTTTTAATATATCAGGATCGTTAGTAAACCTGGAATTGGCTTAGTATTAATTACGATTCCTGAAAAGTTATAAACTTACTCCACTTTAGAGCACGTCGTCTCACTAAAACTTGAAACTTCCAATTGTTTGAGAATCTGTTTCAGATTGACTGTTTCAAGGCCATTAGCAGCTGGTAGCAATATTGGATTTACCAAGTTTTGCTTGTGCAGCAAAATCACGTTTTTGAATGGAATATTCCTTTCTTTAATGAAGTTTTCAACCGCTTTAGTTAAACAGTGCTGGAAGTCGCTTTCTTTTTTATTACATTTTCTTACACTAGAACCTGAAATTTTCTATTTGAAAAAGTGATCATGGTATAATAATGGTAATACATACTTACGCAATTTAGCACGGGCAGCAAAACCAGGGACAGAGAAATAGACATTGTTGACAGTTTCATTGTCTTTCAACTAAGGAATGCTGCAGACCCTGCTTGTCTTATATACACCGTCAGTAAACAAGACCAAGATGAATTAGTGACCCCGTTGAAATCATTTATATTATTTTTTCCACTTCATACAATGTAAGTGGTGTATTATGATATCAATTTGATTCATTTTACTAAACAAGTCTTGATTACTGCTAGCAACGGGAAGTAAGTAAACAATTTAAGTCCTTGAGAGGGAAGTAACGAATTAGCGATTAACATACCTAGGATGTAATAAATGTCATAACAGCCGCAAATTTCAATTCGACATCCAAACGATAGCGAGGATTTTGAGGCACTTGAGGCTGTTATGATATTGATACATCCGTGTTATCTCCAAGGTTTTATCGGTTTCTGTCGATTGAGCCAAAAATTTAAAACAGTTAAATCAGGCAATTTATTTTGAAAAAGACTGAACTGATCGCGTTTGCATGAGAAGTTTCGCTGTCATGGTTACATTTTGGTGTTTATTAAAAAAAAATGGTCGAAAGCTGTTTCGACAGAACTTCCCTCGCTCCTGAAATTCAATGATAATTTTCTTTTGAGTCACCTGTATACGCAAATCCAAAAAATATTAATGGAATGATAAATCACAAGTGCAGACACATCACATTTATTTTGAACATTTTAGTTAGTATTTATTTAGCAAAATTTTGGGTTGACGTCATAAATTTTTTAGGGGGATAAGCAAATACGTTTTGATCAAAAATTTACCATGCTTATGATAACTTTAAAACATTTCCAAGATTTCAAAGCATTCGATTTTGCAATTCCGGATTAAATCAATGAAATAAATTTACGCGTTCATTAATTTTTTTGAGTCACTCTGTATATGCAAATCCAAAAAATATGAATGGAATGATAAATTACAAGTACAGACTCATCATATTTTGTACATTTTAGATTTTCGACAAACTTTTGAGCTGACGTCATCAATTTTTTGGAGTCGATAAGCAAATATATTTTGACTAAAAATTTATTATGTTCTTTATAACCTTAAAACATCTGCAAGATTTCAAAGTGTTCGGTTCAGCAGATTCAAAATTAAATTGTAAAATGTTGTTTTATAATTTTGAATTTGTTTTACAAAAATCTGGACGCTTGGGGCAAAAACTCTATTCGGAATCATAAACTACATGTTTAGGACTACGTTATTTTATACAATTTAAAACCAGTTTGCTACGTACAATTTTGAAGTGACGTCATTGCATTAGTGGTGGGGATGATTAGACAAATTTTGGTTAGCGATTTACCATCTACATGATATTCTTAATATAAATACAAAATTTCGCATCAATCGGTCCAATACTTTCGGAGATTATCTGTCTAAAAAAATCCGGGACAACAGACACACAGACGGACAGACAGACACACAGACGGAAACGGGATACCTATTTCTTCGTCCTCTGGGGATTATGAAAGGTGGAGAAAACGTAAAAGTAGAGAGTCGGCCGACGGACTCGATTACAATACATACTTCCTTTGCTTATTCTCGGGAAGTAGAAAGAGAAATTGGTAAAAAACGAGTGTCTAACATGATAAAGAAAATTAAACTGCAAAATATCAACATAAAAATTGTGTTTAAATTCTACGAGGAAGAGACGAATGTGAAAGTCTGTACCTGCTATCAGCTATTGCTATTGTAAAAGGGATAATCCCCTGCCGAGTTCTCCGCCCTGACTAGGCATGCGCTAACCAAAATTTGCGCAATCTCCCTATCAATGTCATGACACTGCACTTCGGGGGCGAGGAAAGACCAATTTTTTGGATTTGCATATAAGATTGACTCAAAAAATTAATGAATGCGTAAATTTATTTTATTGATTTAATCAGGAACTACAAAACCGAATGCTTTAAAATCTTGGAGATGTTTTAAAGTTATCATAGATAAGTATGGTAACTTTTTGATCAAAATGTATTTGCTCATTCCCCCTGAAAATTTGATGACGACGCCCCGAAATTTTGCTGAAAAAATAAATCTTAAATGTACAAAGTATGATGAGTGTATACTTGTGATCTAACACAGCATTAATATTTTTTAGATTTGCTTATGCAGGGTGTATGAAAAAAATTAATGACTAAGTTAATTAATTTTATAGATTAAATCAAGAATTGCAAAACTGAATATGCAGTTTGAAATCTTGATGTTGTGAAGTTATTGTAAGTATGTTAAGTTTTTAATCAAAATGTATCTTTTCATCCAACTCCAAAAATTTGATTACGTCATCTCAAATTTTTGCCGAATAAATTCTTTCGAAAATGTGCAAAATATGATCAGACTATGCTTCTAACTTATCATTCTATTCATATTTTTTAGGTTTGCTTATACAGGGTGACCCAAAAAATTAATTATCAGTCGATTTATTAAAGAAGGTGAAACCAGAAGCGAGGGAAGTTCAATCGCAATAACTTTCGACCAATTTTTTAGGGAGTTGGGAAAGTGCCCATTTAATAACGACAGATTGTAATGTGTGCTATAGGTTCATAAATTGTATTTCCCACTTTTTACTTCCCGAGCGTAAACAAAGGAAGTATTGTAATCGAGTCCGTCGGCCGCCTCTCTATTTTTGCATTTTCTCGACCTATCATGACCCTTCACGGACGAAGAAATAGGTCTCCCGTTTCCTTCTAATCTGTCTAATCATCTCCACCACTAATGTGATGACGTCACTTCAAAATTATACAAAGTAATTGGGGTTTAAATTGTATCAAATAACATAGTCTTACACATGTAGTTTATGACTCCGAATTGAGATTTTACCCGAAACGCCCAGATTTTTGGAAAAAAAAATTAAAATTAGGAAACAACATTTTACTATTTAATTTGGAATCGACAAAACAGAATGCTTTGAAATCTTGCAGATGGTTTACAGTTATGATAAGCATGGTAAAATTTTAGTCACAATATATTTACTTATCCCCCTCCAAAAAATTTATGACGTCAGCGCAAAAGTTTGCCGAATAAATCCTATCTAAAATGTACAAAATATGATAAGTACTTGTGATTTATTATCCCATTCATATTTTTTGATTTTGCATATACAGGGTGAGTCAAAAAAATTAATGATTGCGTGAATTATTTTTTTTTGTTTAATCAGGAACTGCAAAACCGAATGATTGATTTGAAGTCTCGGAGATATTTTAAAGTTATCATAAGCATCGTAAATTTTTTATCAAAATGTATGGGCTCGTACCCCCTAAAAATTTGATGACATTGTCCTAAAATTTTGTTTAATAAATCCTACCTAAAATGTGCAAAATACGATGAGTCTGTACTTGTGATTTATCATTACATTCATATTTTTTGGATTTGCATATACAGGATGACCCAAAAAAATTAATGAATGCGTAAATTTATTTTACTGATTTACTCAGGAACTACAAAACCGAATGCTTTGAAGTCTTGAAAATGTTTTAAGGGTATAAAGAGCATAATAAATGTTTAGTCAAAATATATTTAGTTGTCCCCTCTAAAAAATTTATGACGTCAGCTGAAAGGTTTGCCAAATAAATTCTATCTAAAATGTACAAAATATGATGAGTCTGTACTTGTAATTTATCATCCCATTCATATTTTTTGGATTTGCATATACAGGGGGACCCAAAAAATTAATGAATGCGTATATTTATTTTATTGATTTACTCAGGAAAATCGAATGCTTTGAAATCTACTGCGAAAAAAACATAATAGGTATGCAGTCGTCACGTTTCCGACAGCGAGGGAAGTACTGTCTAAACTCTTTAGACCAATTTTTTAAGTTTCGTACTCGTTGATGAGTACGATTTGTATGATACAAGTTGTTTTCTGTACATTGTTAACTTTGCTTCAAATTTTATCAATATTTTGCAGTACGTTAACAGACTTTTTAAATAAATATTATGTTTTACAACCAGTAGATACGTTACTCAGTTCTCATGGCTTTAAGTATCTGTACCCGGTAAAAACGGTAACACTAACTCTCGACTACATTTTTAATCACTCGATTTCGAAAAGTTAACTTATTGTAGTTTTACAGTCGTCAAATGTCATCAAAAAGAATCTAATATGTAAGTGAAACTACTGACTGGTTTAGTCAGACCACCATGATCACAGAAGCATTTCGGGAGAATAACTTATTCATATAATGGTTTTCAGCTTTTTGCTGCTGATAATTCCACATATTTTCCACTAAAATTGGAGACTAAAAAAAAATTAAGCTAATCTAATGGTTCAAGGAAACACTACTTGAGTCTGACAATAAACGTGGTGATTGTAATCCATTTTTAGGCCTGTTTTCTCAGTGAATTACTACATTCTTAATACTTTTTGTTGTATTTTTATATTTTGTGATATTCTATTTAATCAAAAATTTTTCCTAAAAGTCAGTCCAGTCAACGTTTCCATTCATCTCTATAATCTCAGAATTCTATGTACTGAACATATTCGTCATTATAAATTAAGTGTTTCTTTGAATCTATTATTTGAATCATTCGAATCTGAGATCAAAGAAATAATGGACTTCTGCATAGTTTAATTCAAGATTCACGTTTCCAATAGTTTCGTCAGATGACGTCACTCATATTCAAGTCACATTACCAACTTCATCATTTGAGTTTAATTCTGCTTTTGATTCTGTAAATAAGTAGCATGTTAGCACATTTAGATACTTAAGGTATATTAAGGTGCAGGAAAAAGTATTATGTTTGTTATGTTAAGAATTGACAAAATATTGTAAATCTATATATTAAAGTGTACGAGTACATTTAACAGATGCGCGATGAAAATTTATAGTATCCATTAAAACTGAAATAAAAAAATCTGGACAGACCGCAGTCAGATAGACGGACAGACGAATAAACGGACAGACGGACAGATGGACAGACGGACACACGGACAAACAGACAGACGGAAACGGGAGACCTATTTTTTCGTACTCTAGGGGTCATGAAAGGTCGAGAAAACATAAAAGTTGGTTGACGGACCCAATTACAATATTACGTTTACGCTCGAGAAGTAAAAATTCAACAAAAATTATT